ACTGGGAGATGAAGCTGGTGCTGGCTCAGAAAAGTGAGAGGCGGAGTGGTGCAGTTTGGGGGCTGCCTTGCCACCCCCCCCCCCCCCCCCNTGGGAGCAGAGAGGGAGCAAAAACGTGGATTGTCTGGTCCCAGAGGACCGGATTGGGAAACACTGGTCTATGGTGTTTGATGTTGAACAGTGCAGAGTTCAGTGAACAGTTGCACAGTGACTTCTGAGTGACAGAAGAAAGGACAACTGACACAAGAACGAGCAAAAAATCTCAATCTCTTTCCTTTATTGAGAGCAGGCCTTTTTGTGTTAATCTGTGTTGAGATTAATTTCATGATCGCATCATTTTCAGCTCGTAAGACAGGGTCTGTTTTTGCATTATTCTGACAGAAACATCGTAGTTATGGCTATTTTATGAAATTAAATTTTCTGAATTATATGAATAAAACATGATTGTATTACAGTATATAACAGAAGTAAATGAGTAAATGTTTCTGTAATTTTTTTTTGTTTGAATTGTTATTGTCACTGGCAACATAAATGGCTCTCCAACAGACGTTTTCTATTATTGCTACTTACAAATACATTTATGTGGTCACAGTTTTTGCTCTAATCACCTTCAATTTGAATTATGCATCAAAGCTAGACAAAGGCATTCTGGGAATTATGAGTGTATTGTTATTGGCAGCAAAGGATTTCATTTATCGTGGATTTCATTTGGATTCAGTAATCACAACTCAATCAGCACTGCACTAACCTGTAAATTATGAATTATAAATTCTGTAATATTTAAGTAATTTATTTTGGAAGACTTCATATGCTTTTTAAATCCATTTTCAGTTCATATTTGTGGGAATGTGATGCGCATTTTTTGCATGTAAATATACATGTATTTTTATAAGCACAAATGTCTCCATACTGCTATGTTCAACTCTGTAAAAGCCGTTACTTTTAAGTTATGAGCCTGGCGTCATCCACCAAATCCAGATTTCTCATCTTTTTGATTTACTGTCAGACAATGGAAATTTCTTTGGAAACTTGTGTTTTGTTTCAATAAAGCTGACAGCTGGAGGGGAGTGTGATTCTGCATCGTCTCAGGTAGAAATGGTTTCCATGTCTGGTGTAGGCGGCGATGTAACACGAGGAATGCGCCTGTGCAGTTTAGCTGGTTAACTGTCCCGTATCAGTGACTCGCAGACAGGCAGTTCGCAGTGAAGTCTGAGCGCTGCCTTGGCCCGCTCTAAGCATGCATCTCGACTGATAGCGTCCTTCCACCTCTGCGTCTGCATGTTATCTGCAAGGCTTTGCCAGACAGAAGTAGGGCGGTGGATTGACGCTCCTGCAGATAAAGACTGGGAGATGAAGCTGGTGCTGGCTCAGAAAAGTGAGAGGCGGAGTGGTGCAGTTTGGGGGCTGCCTTGCCACCCCCCCCCCCCACGCACACCCGTACTAACAAAGAGGCCCCTACCATGAATCTGAAATGCGAACTTCAGAGAAGATCAGATCCTGGTAGTTCTGCATCTATCCAGTAGCTGCTCTGTTTATCTACATATTCCTCGTAGGATCTCCATGCGCTCCATGTAGATGGTCGACAGTGTCTTTCCAACCAGGACAGCTTTGGGTGGATTGAAACGCAACCACGAGACTTAATGGGAGTGGTGGTCTGAAGACTTGGAGGTTTACTACAAGCCTAGATGCCCACAAATGAAAAGGGGAAGGAATAGCGAAGGTGTAGTGATGAAGTATGCATGGACGTAAAACTAAGGCCGTAACCAAGTTACTATCTATCCTTACCTCTGTTAAAGTTACCAGTTATTTAGAAGATTAACAAAAAGCTGTAGCTTAAAAAGACAAAAAGCATCTTATTTGATAAATGTGCTTGATAAACGGATGGATGAATTTAACGGAGAAATGGAAACTTTTTATAATCATGTTACTACTTGATGAATTACATTCTATCATGTTAGTCTTACAATATCACAAAGAGCAAGCAGTTATTTATCAGTCAGAAACCGATTCTGCCATTTAGCGTAACTTTGTGAAAGACGTGTGGAAATGGAGAAGTACCTGACAGAATTTGTGGGCTAGTCATAGCAACAGCACCCAGCTGTCTTGAAAATGTTATGGTGGTTGTGTTTGCTGCAGTTACCTTAATGGATTAACAGGGAGTGATTCATATAAGCTTACCGTATACAATGAATGATGTTATTGGCTTTTGAATTAACCACTTCTGTACTTTTTGGGTGAAATGGTCAGTTTCTGCTCTCATGGAAATAAAGGGGCTTCCCTCAACACCCATATAAGTCATTTAAAATGAAACTGAGATGTTGTTCCTTCCTCTGGAGTGTTGAGTAACTTGTGGTGTGACTTGGAGAATTTCCAGAGTGGAAGGTGGACGTAAATTCCCTGCTATTCTCAGACAGGTGTTTCAGTAGCCCTAGTGTACCGATGAAGACACAGCATTCTACTTTTTAGATAGGCTGATTAAAATGTAGTGAAGGCACATTAACGTGAAGACTTCCTCAGTGACCTTCCTTTCTAAGGTCTGACTCATTATGTCACCCTGGAGTTATTTTATGAGATTCTTGATGAAATATCTAATTATTTACTTTTGACCTCTAATGTTAATAGGCTGTGTCACAATAAAGGAGGCTTGAAATTGCACTACTGAGTGGGATGTTCTTATCGAGCTTTTGTTGGTGAAGTCTCGGGTATCTGAAGCGTTACTACTTTGACACCAGTTAATAAAGGTATTGGCCATGTAGCTGCCTGCCTCCATATCAGCTAAAAGGATTCCTCTGAGAAGTCCTCAGGTTATGGTCCACCTGAAATAATAATGATTGGAGGATGGTGATTTTCACACTCCTTCTGAGGGAAGTTAGCTTTCACTGTAGTATAGAATGTAGTATATGTAATATGGAATGTAGTAGGTGTAGTATGGAATGTAGTACGTGTAGTATAGAATGTAGTACGTGTAGTATAGAATGTAGTATATGTAGTATGGAATGTAGTATGTGTAGTAGTCTCGACTGACATAATTTTTTAAATGATTGGTATCAGGTACCACAGCTCAATCTATTTCATTTCTCACGTCTGCCTAATTCACGCCACTTGTGCAGATTGTAACGTTCCAGCATGCTGCAGTAAGCGTGAGGCACATGGCTTGGTACTGCAAACTATTGACATACCAGCTGTATGGAAATTCTTTAAATTGTAAAGGTTGCTGGAGGTAGCAAAAGAGCCTCATTTAATACAACTAATCTAATTAGGCAACTTGCAAAGACATCATAAGGGAGAATTCTGTGAAATCATGATGTTTTGTCAGATGAAAAAAATGCACCAGTGCCTACAATATGTATATGTATATTTAAATGTATATTAAAGTATCGGATCAGAATCTGCAAATATTCAAAGGGTTGAATCAGATTGGTGCACCAATAGAGTGGACCAGGACAGCCTGAATTTAAAGAAATGAAAAGATAAAGTGTAAATTTACTTACAGACATATATCGCCTTTTTAGGTTAGCGTTTCTGTGCACTCTTTGTATCTGATATTTTTTGCTGAAGTTCGGTTGAAAGGTTTATTTAAGTTGGTTTTATGTAAGTCAAGCACTGCCTGTATCGAATTCAAGTTTCACAATAGCCAGGAGTGAGAGTGAGAACTGGACGTGTGTTTGTTTTATCGCCCTGCGGTGTTTTGCTATGACAGACCTCACAGCACTTTCTTGAATATGCTGGTGTGGGTGATCGAGAGAACTTTTCAAATGGTGGACATTGGAAGCGTTTCTGTTGTTTGCTACTGTTCAGTGTGTTAACGAGCTTACTTCAGGTTCAGATTTACTTACACTTTTTGCTCTCTGATAACGCAAAAAAAAAAAAAAAATCTGTTATTTTGTGGGGGGGTTATTGGAATGGGCTGTAGGCTTGAATTATGCCCCCCCTCCAATCTCTATGTATGCGGGGATCCATGAAGTTCGCATGTTCTTCCCATGTTCCTTCGGGTTACCTTCAGAACATGCAGGTGGGTGAACCAGTGTTTCCAGTTTGCCTGTAGTAAATCTGTGCTCTGTAATCAACTGCCTTTGAGGAGGTCAAAACAGAGTATCTCTCCCCATTTACTTTAAACTGTGGTGCTATCTCTTGAAGATCCGTCTCAGAGAGTAGTTTTCTATTTTCCAGTATTTTCAAGACAGGAAGACTGAAAGAATAAAGTACTGCTGAATACGAAGAGCAGAAGCAGACTGTTAACATCACATCCAGTTTGACATACTATAAAAAGTGAGGCCAAGGCGATCTGTACCTGTCTTCAGTTTTTTAACATATAGTATGGGAGCATACAGTGAAATCTGTGATATATGACTGTGAGGAAAATGGCAAAACAACCTGCATTTCACTGTCCTAAAGGGAAATTTCAGGTGTCAAAATAAGCCATCATACCATTGGTTATTTATGGCGGTGATTCTGCCTCCTCTGACTCTGGGTGATTCAGATATGCTGTTTTATTATTATTATTATTTTTTTTAAACCCTTTGGTTATCTTGCCACACTCTGCTCTCAGGGCTAGTTATATATTCGCAACGGAACCCTCCCCTTCTTTAAGGACGTCCAGAACAAGAAGCGTTTCTTCTGGCCTGGAGTTACGGTCCAGATCCACTATTCCACGGGCTCCTAGGGAGATGAACGGTATCAAAACATCCCCCCCAAAACATCACAGGCAGAGCGGCAGCAGGGGGCTGAATTATGTTGGTAATTCTAGCTGGCTCTCACCATGGCTCCACGTCTAGCATTCTGATCTCATTTCCGTCCCTATCTGGCAAGCGCAGAGAGTGCAGTTGGGGTTGAAGGGTTTAGAAACAAGTGGCCATTTCTTCAAATCGTTTGCCTCATCGTCGACGACACCCGCATCGCCTGCGTGGGAGGCTTCTGGAGTCTGTGTCCTACGAATGCGCCGCTGAGTGATCTGTCTGATGCCATCACCTTCTCTCCCCCACCCCCCCGCCCCCATCCAGGACCGTGTGAGCGTCGCTAAAGATGTCCGATAGTGCTGATGTTGAAGAGAAGCCTCCAGCGCCGCCCCTGAGGATGAACAGCAGTAGCCGAGACTCCTCTGCCGTGAACCACAGCTCCAAACCTCTCCCAATGGCTCCAGAAGAGAAGAACCGCAAAGCCCGCCTGCGATCCATCTTTCCTGGGGGTGACAAGAGTAAGCCTGCTCGTCCTCCTGCCATTGCAGCCTCCCCTCCCGTTTAAGAGTGGACCCATCCATAACATGCACAAGGACATACCATCCTAAATAAAAGGGGCACAAGGCCCTTCAGTATCTTCTATGAATTGGCAGCATTTTTCCTCACATTAAGCCCTTGGCAAGTAAGGTCATCTCGAATAGGAGCAGCTGATATAGCTGACCTCCCGTAAAACTGTATCCATTGTTTTTCTTGGCTGAAAGCATCTGCTGTTTGTGTTTTTTTCCCCTAGTTTAGACCGATCATGGGTTTCAGTGTCGTCAAAACAAACTTTGAGCTTAAGCGATACAGGCGAGATAGGGAGGAGCATCATGCCATTCCTGCTTTATTGGTTGATGGGCTTACAGCCTTTCCATACCTGGTGTCCATCTTCCTTTTCCAGCCAACAAGAAGAAAGAAAAGGAGCGGCCTGAGATCTCCCTGCCTTCCGACTTCGAGCACACGATACACGTCGGCTTCGACGCGGTGACAGGGGAATTTACAGTAAGCAGGAAAACTGCCAGCGCAGCGCCGTCATCTGCAGGGCGCCCCCTGGTGGTCATGCTTCTTAGCTTTATCCAGTAGTCTTAGCATTACAAATGAATACACCCAAATAACACATTAAATGAAAACTTCTTTAGCGAGTCAATAGACAGCTAATCTCATTCATGTTTATGCCTTTCTGGTGGTGTACAAATAAAATGCAAAAATCCAAAATCCCTAGTTTGAGGAATTCTAAGGCATAGAATGAAGTTCTCGGAGAGAATGAACAAACCACGCTCGTTCCAAGACTCTGTCTCATTCCGTAATCCTGGAACTAGTTTTCGAAGCGACGCACAGCAGATTTACGCAGAACGCAGCTACAATCGGCATTCTGCATCCTCTCAGCTGCCGCGACACATTTGTCTCTGCGCCAGACCTTGTCACAATTAAGGGAGTTCATCCTGGCAACATGAAACAGCCCCATTACATCCCATACCCAAAGCGTGATCTGAGATAAGCAGGTTCTGGGACGGCTTCCCAGCGTGAGGACATGTTCTTCTGCCCCTCCAGGGGATCCCAGAGCAGTGGGCTCGTCTCCTCCAGACCTCCAACATCACCAAGCTGGAACAGAAGAAAAACCCACAGGCCGTGCTGGACGTGCTCAAGTTCTACGACTCTAAAGAGACAGTCAGCAATCAGAAATACATGAGCTTTACCTCCGGAGGTGAGTGAAGCGGCTTCGTCCAGATGCAGATGCGGACCAGAGCCAGATCCGTTATGATGCGTGTGTCTTTAATTGCAGACGTCTTACATTCTGGCTCATGGGTAAAAACAAAACTCACAATTAGAAATGACACCATAAAGCAGTATTTCTCAAACTGGCTCTTGGGAACCCCCAGAAAGTCCACATTTTCGCTCCCTCCCTGCTCCCAGCCAATGAGGAACACCGAATACAGGTACAGGTGTGCGTGATTGGCTGGCAGGTGGGACTGTCTCGGGGTTCTCAAGGACTTGGCTGAGAAACACTAGCTTAAATAATAAAATAGTAACATGACCCATTTCTTAAGTAGTGTTGTGTGTTGTGCATTTTGTTTCTTGAATCTTGAATAAGATATTAGCCACGACAATTTCTCATCACATTTTTGCATTTGTCTTTCAGACAAGTCGGCACATGGTTACATTGCACCTAGCACTCTGGTAAGTGTTAGTTTCAGAGCTTTTGGTTTCCCGTATGGTTATAAATAGATATGCAGCAGCACCACCAGGGTAATAATTAATGCGATGCTGATGCAGCTTTAGAGCCACACTGACACGAAGCGAAAAGGCGCTAACAGGCTAGCTTATTTTCGCAGAGGGACAATTGGTCTAGTCTTTTGATGCTTTTAGTAAGATCAGGCTATTGACAATGGAAGAGGGGAGGCGAGGGCCGTTGTGGGGGGTGGGGGGGTCGGTGAGGGGTAGGAGTAGTGCCTCCATTTGTCACATTGGTTGTTTCATGAGCAAACCTGCTTTGTTTTTTGGATACAGTGAAACTTTTTTTCCCCCCCCAAAATATTTCAGGGCATATTGGGCTTCACAGTGCCGATTGTTTGTGAATGTGCATTCCTGAGTACTGTCTGTCTGATAGAGTAAGAGAAAACGCACATGAAAGTGTCAGATCTCTACCAGCAACAAGGTGATTTGGTGTGTTAAAAAAAAGAGACAAAACAATTTAAACCAGAATATCGCCCTTGTTACACTGATGCTTTGCTTTGTTAGCTGTTTGTGTAAGTTATCACCAGACAAAACAGAGAATACCTTTCACTAATAACAGGAGCAGATGTTTCCCGTAAGTCCTGTTTCAGAGTGAAAGGATGTATAAAATGGCAGCTGAGCGAATGTCTGTGAAAAGGTACTTGGGCCCTTTCTGGGTACCCAAGTAAGGGTCTGCTTTTGGGTTACATTTACTTACAACCCCCCACTATTAGTGGGTGTGGCTCTGCTGTCAAACTCAACGATTAATTAAACCCCCAGAATTACAGGGCTCAGGGTGACATCCAGACCGATATCCTATAATCCCTACCCTGGCAATAAGGGGAACGGCCACTTTCTTTGCACAAAAGCTTATTTCCAGATTTGTGTTATTTGTTGTGCTATTGTGTGTGTGTGTGTGGGTGTGTGTGTGTGTGCGTTATGTCTGCCAGATAATTTCTTACTGCCAGAACTAAGCCCTGATAACTTACAGCCAGATTGTATTGCTGCAGTATTTTATGGTATTTTCCACTGAAGTAGCTTTTATTGTGCGTTAAATATCAGATTTTCTGGTGAAGCCAGAAACAGCCTGAGACATTTGAAATAGTGTTCTATTTACGTAAGTTTTTAAAGTGATCTGTTTTGGTTTTACGAAGGGGGCTTGGCAGACCCCATTGTAAAACTACTGGTCATTAACATAATTATAAATTATACAGCATTAGCTACTACAGTTTCATAAAGAGGGGTACATTTAGTAACAAATATAAAAAAATGCTGTGTTTAATTTTTTTTGTACTGCATGGATGTGTGATTTATTTTTAAATTCTGTAGGACTGGGGCATCTGTAGGGCTGTTTAAAATTTACTTTAGCCCCCCCCAACAAACCCGATATATGTAGCTGGTTATGGCCCAGAAGCCAAAAGGAAGAATCGATTATGTCCCCCTTCCGAAAGTCGAAGCGACCCTGAAAAATTGGCAGAAGGCTGTCCAAGGAGAGGGATGTTCGTGCTGAGGGTGTACTTGTGTGGCTGCGTGCTGAGTAAATCCTGCCCATTCTTAACCTTATTCAGAAACGTCTCCTGTCTGCGCCAGCTCTCAGCGTTAGAGCCTACGGCGCGGTGCCTGACAAGGTAATCTCTCACACGGTCCACGAACGCTCCATCGCCGGCGACATGTCTCTGGTTCCGGCGCGGTGTGCAGAGATTCTAGAAGGCCAACGTATCGCTATGGCGCCTCTTTGTAGCTCATGCTCCCCGCTGAAGTGCCGCGCGGAGCTAGCCAGTGCCTTCCAAATGATGTGCTGAGGACAACAAAATGAAGGAGGACGTCATCCTCATATGTGCAGTTAGCAAATGTCTTATGCTTTGCTGAAATCTAATACTGGTGTATGGTGGAAAAAAACTTGAAATGCGAAAGAAAAATGTATTATGGTTTGAAAAAGGTCTCATAAAATATAACAGGAATGAAAGAGAAAAATAATGGAAAAGTACATTAATTTACACTTAGTTTTATCGTAGATGACAAGTGAGGTACTGGGGAAAAAATGAGCTAACAGAATGTGACTCAGTTTACGTAACTAAATGTAACTGATATTGAACAAAAAGTGAGTCAGTAGCTATTTGATCAGTGTATGTGACCTGGACATTCTGCAAGGTGGACTCAGATACTTGGGTCAAACAAAAGTAGGGGCCATGGAAGAGGAGGAACAAAAGTGGCCCTGCTCTTCATACCAGCCATTGACGGTGGATCTCCAGTGCAGTGGCACATGGTTGTCCTGGAGAAGAACCTGGGATGCAGAAGATCACTCCAGTCACTTACACCACCAGTCAAAAGTTTTTGTATAGACTGAGGTTTTCTACATTTGCATGTTACTCACTTAACATTTACTAAAAATACACTCAGTATGCTTTGCTAACAAATTTAGAGTATGTTCACCATTTGAGTAGCTTTATTAGAAAGAAAATGTCATATTTTTGATTTCATCAAAGTAACCTCCCCTAGCAGTAGGAACAGAAAATTCGAGGCATTTTGTTCTGCGAGGGGCATTAAACACTGCTCTGTTTCATGGAATGAAATGGTTAATTAGTTCATTTAAAGTTAAAGGACAGCCAAGAATTTGACTACACCATCACCACACAACCAGTTAACAGGATGTCAGAAATACACTGTTACATACTGTTTCCATGTTATAAAGGAAACTTGTTTTATTTGACTTATATTTTCAGTTATAATTGTTCACTCACCTTCCTCACAAGAATAAAAAATCTGCAGTTTATGAAATAAATGGAAAAGTGGTAAAAACCTGTGGTGTGTAAAAACTATTGACTGGTGGTGTATGAGTATGCCGGTGGTGTATGAGTATGCCGGTGGTGTATGAGTATGCCGGTGGTGTATGAGTATGCCGGTGGTGTATGAGTAT